TGTATATTTTAATTGTTAGCTTATATGTTTCATTTTATTGGTTGATGTGTTTATTTTGTTGGCTTGCCTGTTGCTTTTGTTTGCTGATTTCATCCTTTTGTTAGCTGATATGCTTCATTTATTGGCTGATATGTTCCATCTATTGGTTGATATGTATCTTTTGTTGGTTGATATGTTCCTTCTGTTGGTTGATATGTATCTTTTGTTGGCTGATATATTCCTTCTGTTGGTTGATATGTATCTTTTGTTGGCTGATATGTTCCTTCTGTTGGTTGATATGTATCTTTTGTTGGCTGATATATTCCTTCTGTTGGTTGATATGTATCTTTTGTTGGCTGATATATTCCTTCTGTTGGTTGATATGTATCTTTTGTTGGCTTATATGTTCCTTTCGTTGACTGATACGTTTTTATTAATGTCTTATGTATCCCAAATGTTGACTGATATTAGACATCAATTGGCTGATGTGTTCCTTTTATTGGCTGATATGCGTCATTTGTTGATTAATATGATTAACAACATACAAAGTATTTTTATCTCCCCCTCTCCCTCTTCTTTCCCCCTCATAATGGTTTGATGAAATTAATGGCCAGTCAACACACATATGGCAGATTGTTTTATACAATTTCAATTCATTAGAAAGAAATAAATCCAAAAACTGATAATAAATTCAAAGTTTATTCTTTTGGGAAGCATCATAAAATTAGAGTCAACTTTCACTTTCTCAAAAGGGTTGAGATTAACATACAAAATCATCTGTTAAATCCTAACAGAGAAAGAAAAGACCAACATTGTTACAACATCCTAACTTGATCTAGTTCCTTGTTTTGTGAAATATGTACGAAGTATGTACGTATTACCTCCCGTAATTAATAATCATAAGATTCATACTTTTTTTTTTTTTTTTTTTTTTTTTTTTTTTTTTTTTTTTTGAAGAATTCATACTGTCTTTATATATACTTGTTAATGTATTTTTTTTTGACAAAATTGTTATAGTATTTATAAAGCTTTTATTAAAATACAATTTTATAACTTAGCTTTCTCCATCTCATATATTGGAAAATCATATCGATCATATAGGAGTATTATTTTCTCCTTTATAAAATGGTTCAACCTTTACGGATATTTCAAAGCAATAACCATGAATGTGACTAAAAGCAAATGTGACCATTAGTCCATTAAACATAAACGATTAGACAGTATGTATATACTTCCTTCGTTTTAGAATAATTAATTAATATGTTAGAGTTTTTACGCTAATTATATACTCGTATAAACTTTGTTCGTAATTTTGTAAGAGTGTCAAGTTTAATTATACTTATTTTTTTAAGGTCAAACTTTTAAGTTGACATATGTGTTATATTTGACTGTATCAATAATTTTGAGAGGAAAAAAGTAATACGAGTTCAATACCTAAAAAACTAAAAGAGCTAGTGTTGACTTTTGTAGGAGTAAAAAATTTCAGTAAGTAAAGGGAATGGAATTATGCAAGGAAAAGTATTGGAGAAACAAGAATACCTTTTTAAGGGGTGTGATTGGTTTTTTTTTGGGTACACATTTCAATGTACACAATATATATAATGGGGTTAAAAAAAAAAAACGAATTCCAAAGCAAGGTGAATGAATGTTGCCTCACAAACACAATCTCTCTCATCTCCAATTGTACGAATACACAGGAGTTCTGGGGATATTGTTGGATTATGTCTTCTCTCTCACTCTCACATCTTCTACTCCTACACTCCTACTACTACTAGCTCTACATTATGTAATTAAAAAAAAAAAAAAAAATAGGGTTAAGAATTTTTGAAGCTTCGACAAGTTCTGTCAATTTTACAACCTCAAATTCCAACCGACCCTGTAAAAGTAACTCAGATGCTGTAAATTTGTCACTTTCTCATTATTTTCTGCTTTTATTTTGTCGACATTTTGCTTCGTTTTTTTCTTAAATTCTACTGCACTTGTGTTACGGAGTACTGTGCATATTTATGTCTTAATTAATGTTGACGTAGTATAATAGACCGTCATTATTTATAATCATCCACCCGTGCTCATGCATTACAAATTCACAAGTTTACAAAATTCCTAAAACCTTATGTGTCTATGTGTGTCCTAATCTACAGTTACAAGATTTTGGTTTAGTTCTGTTCAACTTATTTAATTTAATCTCTCTTAAAAGGGTAATATGACTAATATCTATTACGAAGTACTCGTATTATGCTACAATGAAAATAAAATTGACATGCTCACAAATATGTTATGACAATCACGTATATATTCAACTAATCCACGAAGACCATGACTACTCGTGTAGTTTAGAGTTTAGACAATATTTTTCTATTATTAATATTTCAACATTACGACTTTCACAATATGATCATGTAAAATCAAGTTAAATTTTCTCCGATGTAATCAAAATATCAACTTTTAATAATTTTTATTTATTAAAAAATAAAGATATACAAAGTATATAAATGCGTGATATAGATTTTCCTCAATGAAATTTCAAATTAGTAGGGATTAACGTAGTCTTTAACTTATTGTCAATGTTACGCTGCCATGTCTTGACAGTTGGTACAAAAAGTAAAAGCAAAATAATCGAGCCCATTCATATGAACCTTAGGAAGCCCATTCACTATATTTTAGTGAATGGACCAGCAAATTTTTGGGACTTTAGCCATTTTTGAAACCCTTATCTAGCCTGGTCCGAAATTAATTACTATCACCGTTTCATATTTTTTGTAACTTTGGGGTATTAATTGTGAGATAAAAAATATTTTAAAGTTACAAAAAATATGAAATGGAGGTAGTATTTCATTTTAATAAAACTATTTTACACAATCCTTTTTTACATTTTTAGTAATTTATATTCAGCATAAAGTGACGTTATGGTCTTTCATAGCCAACAAGTGCTTAGATTAGTTGGTAAAGGAGTTGTTCTACATTAACAAAGTATCCGGCTAGAGTTCAATTTAATTGGAGTATAGTAGGCTCTAAATTACCGGGTATACTTGATTATGATTCATATTTCAAGAAACCAATTCTAGAATAGGTCCTAATCACTAATTATTTTTTAAAGTCAAAATTATGATATTCTTTATAATTTAAAAACGTTTTAACAAGTTCTCACATGACCAGTTTTTTCTTACGTATAATTCACAAAAATAATATAGAATTGTATGTGAATAGTACAAAAGTCAAAATAAATTGCATAAAAATTAGAGAAATTTTGTTTAGTTGAAAACTAGGTTGCTATGATCTGTTTAAATCAATCAGTGAAAGGTTGTTAATTTAATTAAAAATTGAATACTGCCCAAACTAGTATGATCTACAAAGTATATTCTAGTCTTTCTAGATTTTACTATTAGTTCCAGACCTACTAGAGTTTATCATAGGATAAACTATGACCATATTTGTCAGTCCTGCACATTTGGGCCATAAAAGGCCCAATACAAAAACACTTTGGACTGGATCAAATTCAACGGGCTTATATAGCCAATTAGACCGGCCCGTCAAAAATGGCAACCCAAACCTGGCTCACATTGGGTCGGGCATGAATTAATGATTAGCTCTAATTTGACCAAGATTAAGACTCAACCAAGAAAAAAAAAAAAAAAAAAGGAAAAAAAAAGAAAGTCATTTAGATATTTTCCGTAAATATTTCATGGATAATGATGCTAATTTGTTATATATTCCCTAATAATCTATGTCCATATGAGTGTATGACCCAGTCGTGCGAATAACTACATGATAAACATCTATAAATGTTTATTTTTGAAATATTAAAATATAATAAATGAGGTAGTAGATACGTGGAAAATTAAAAAAGGGGATAATAAAGAAAAAGAAGTTTATGAACTAAAAGTCGACACCACTGCCTAACAAGAATGTCTGCCATGATCAATAACATAATAAGGTGGGGTCCTTACTCTTATCTATTAGAAGATCAAGTCTTTTGATTCATCTTTATAGATCACATTGTGAAGCGGGGAATTGGAAGTAAAAGTAGAGAAATTTGGATAATTTTCTTCTTAAATTATGATGGATGACACTTTGTTATAATTGGATTAAAGTCCAAATGTATATCAAGTAGCAATATAATTAAGTTTATTACAACTCAAAAACCACTTCTTCTATACTTTCTAGAATCTAATCTTTAAGGGATGACTTTAATTATTTGTGAATCAATCAATGTAAACATCAAAAGCATAGTTAATTAGTCATGTATGATCATGGTACGGTCATACATGATGGGAACCGAGGTGTGGGCATTGCTCAAGTAGGTAAAGCTGGGCATAGCGGCCCGGCACGGCACGAGGGGTGGGCCGTGCCATGAACAAAAAAATCAGCACGGGCCCGTGGGTGGTACGAAATATTGGTCCGTTGGCACGGCCAACTATAAATAATAAAAATAAAAATAATAAAAAGAACAATAATAAATTAAAAATAAAAATAATAAAAAGAACCATAATAATATAAAGAACTATAAATAATAAATTATTTAATTAATAATAAATAATATAAAAATAGGTTGGCCCGCGGCCCGGCACGACCCGCCCCTCCTCCAGCCCGAGCTAGCATGGCCCACGACAGCACGACCAGCCCCGAATTCCAGCTCTACATGTAGGTAAAAACTTATGACCCGTATTTGTGATCATGGGATCATATCTCTTATAGTTGTATATTATAACTTTATAAATTTTAAATAAGTTTATATGAGAGAAATCTCAACTCAAATGCGTAACTAAGATAGGACACAATAATGATGATAAAATCTATCATCCTCGATAAATATAGTGTTTAATATTTTCATTAGAGTAATTGGCCTCACTTTCATCAACTTATAATGTTAAATTGGTCACATTAATCAATTTTGAAACAAATAAAGTTAGTTAAATTTGATCAAAATATAAGTAACCTTCATCCAATAAAAATAATTATTATACTTTTGTATAATAACTTGGCTAAAATACTAAGTAAAAAATCGAAATACGGTATAAATAAGTTGTTTCCTTCAAACTGAAACTAAACTAAAACAAAAGCAATAGTCATGTACTATTTTATCGCTTAAGAAATTGTTCATTTCATTGAATATCACCGTCGTATATAGACAATAAACAAAACGTTAATATTCATAGACACTATAGGCTATTTTCCCCCTTTAAGCGTGGTGGGTTACATAGTTTTCATGAATATACAGATTTTGCTTTTAACTCCCACAAATAAGCTCATATTTTGAACATTCCTAGAAAAAGAGATAACAATTAGAAAGAGCAGTTGTAGCATATCGCATTACATAAAGTAGCCAATTTTTAGGTGAAACGTCAATTGTGGATTATGTTGTCATGCCCGTGATCTACATCACCATGCCCTTAGTGATGCCCCTCTATATTTTTTTCTCTCTATCCTTCTTTATCTTTCTTGAGTCATCATCATCAAAATTACCCACTTTTTTTTCTTTATTTTTGTTTTTTCTCCATTCTTATCATTTTGTACTACTATAAAAACAAACCCATTATTTCCACAAAACTTGTTTCCAACACTACTTGCCAAAGTTTTCCCAAAAAAAAAAAAAAAAAACTATTTTCTTTGGTATGTAATCATGTATATGTAACATTTAATCACATTACTATAAATATATTTTTTTTCTTTTTTTGATGTTGTAATAAATTTAAGTGACAGATTTGTTTGTAATTTGCAGGGTTTTATAAATTATAAACATGGATCATCAAAGTAATGAAGGTGGCATGAAAGTGGAAATTCCGGAGATGAATTTTACAAGTCCTAGAGGTTTGACTAGGCAACCAAGTAATGGAAGTGCTAAAGTGATGAGTACTTGCCTATGTTCTCCGACCACCCACGCCGGCTCTTTTAGGTGTCGGCTTCATCGGTCTCCGAGCCTCCAACGTACTAGAAGTGTAGAAACTCCGGCCTCCTCTAAGCCGGAGAATGCTACTGTTACTACTAGTAACTACTAACAATATATATAAGTTCGATCAGTACATGATGTATTGTATACGACATGCTCATGTATGTGTTTTTGTTTTGATCTTTTTTGATCTTACCTTTGATATATACTTATATTGGTTGTTGTACTATTATGTCATGATTATAAAATATAATCCATCAGTCCATCACTAATGTTCTGTAGCTGAATCTGAGGAATTATGCAATCTGATATACAACTATACTAGTATATATTATGAATAATCAAGATAAGTTATGTAAAATAATTTTTTATTTATTTTTAATTAATTTTTGGACAGGCAGAAATATGAGTTGATTTTTTGGTGTAAAACTTTGCAAGTGGAAGTTCCAGGAATATTGTAACATAATTCCAGTTCGTTGTTTAGCTAAATGATCGATTAGGTTGATGCATAGAACAGATGGGTTATTGTCATAAAAAGATGGTAAAGACTAAAGAGTAATGTAAAGATCCCTTTTTTAATTACTTTGATCTGGAATTTGTTTAGAATTAAAGAGTCTGGTGAATCATTGCTAATTTGTTCTGATCAGATCATGTTTCTCCAATAATCCTATTGATAAAAAAAAAAAAAAATGATTAGTGTGAAAAATTGAGTATGGTATAGTATAATGTACAATCTATGGATCGGAGTTTGTACATATCCTACTGCTGAGGATCTTTATATGATTGAGAACAACGAACTTAGACAGTACACATTAGTAACATTACTGATACAACCCCTTTAAAGACTTATCCAACCAAAGAATTGAAGTGGCTTATATTGAAAAAAAGGACCAAGGGTGGCACTTCAATGATTAAAACCACTTTTACCGTCCCATGCTAATTACTCCGTACGTAATATTTTATATGGCATCAATTTGAAAATGGTAAGCAACGTATATTACATGTGGTTTGACCCAATAGGCCAACACATCAACCAATTAATACAGTGAATAATAAACCAATTTGATTCTTATTTTCTTCCTTATAGATATATATTATGCAAATTCATTAATTATTTTGTTTCAACTAGATGACTTAGTACAATTACACTGTCTATACACTTCAATGGGCGAATGGCCAAGCAAGTTTTTCCATGTATAAGGAAAATTTAACCTGAAATAATTACAAAGATGCGCCATTGGATCGGAGTTACACTGCCACACAAAACTTGGGTAGGCTTGTCTTTTACCAATAATTGTAAACTATTAGTGTATGTTTGGTTTTGTGTATGTATAAAATATCCTGAAATTTGTCAAAGTTATGTCATGTTGATAAGATAAGAGATAGAAGATATTATAAAGATTCAAACCTAATCGAATATAATTGGTATTACAAGATGTTATGCTTAACAACTACTCCATAGCATATAAATATAATAGTATGCTCCAAACTTTGGAATTATTTAATGCGTGATACATCTGATCTCGTTAAAATTATGATTCTATTTATAAATATGATCGGTTATCCATTCCAAGTTAGCTTATACAAGATAAATACGAGAATTAAATCAATTAATTATGAAGTTGATACATGTCTACTTTCCAAATTGAACCGGCTCTCATCTTCATCTCTTCTTGTCTTAGATCCATCTAAACAAATTTTGTTTTTCTCATTTGACTCATCAGATCATTTATCTTTCTTTCCTCTTGTATTTTCTGTCTTATTAATTAATGGTGTATACATAGGGATTATTATACAAAAATCATTAGTATAGCATGTTTCTATATTTTTTTTTCTCTCTAGTCATTGGCACTATGCTAGCACCAAGCTAAGGTTGATCTAGTGAAAAGGATAACGTACACCTTCTAATCATGAGGTTGGAGGTTCAATCCACACTAATGACAATTTGGGTGATGCGATTCCTTGCTCTTATTTTTAAATACTAGGGTGGTTAACGCGCTCGATGTGTGTCATAACAAGTCATGTCCAAGAAACTATTTCGATTTGACCTATGTGTAGAAGGCTAGATCACACACTTATTAGGAAAATCATGTAAACAAATGTTTTTAGAAGTATAAATGTCCACACTATTTTTAAGAGTAAAAAAAAGTCAATTAACATTAATGAGGGCAAATAGGTAAATAAACATTTTAGAGAGTATCATGTCAGCTTGTCTGATAAGAGTTATCTTAGTTCAATTACAGCTAAACTAAGGCCCCGTTCACTTCACCTTATTTTTGCTTAACTGAAATTATTTTTAGTTAATTGAAATTATTTTTGCTGAACTTAAATTATTTTTACTGAATTGAAATTAATTTTATTGAACTGAAATTATTTTTGCTGAACTGAAATTATTTTTTACTGATTTTCTGTTATATTTCTTCTTTAAAGTTACTGAACTGAAATTATTTTATTAAATATTTTTTTTAAGGTGAAGTGAACATGACCTTCTAACTAGTCCAAACTTACTTGAACTTAACTGAATTCACTTGTTAAATTAGAACTATTTTAGTTGTCAATTAAACCTGGATATTCCTTATTAATTCATTCTTATTAGGATTCATATAAACTTCTCTCTCTTTTTTTTTTTTTTTTTAATTAAGTGGAAACATATAAATAAAACAAGCCCTAAATACCGAAGAGAATTTAACTTATCCTACAAATAAATGACTCATCTTAAAATTGATCTAAAGATTCATAAGAATCATAGCCAAGTCACCAATTCGAGACAACCTTGGTGGCTGGCCCAGCCCAAACAGTGGTACCTCTTTTTTGGGATGTAGTACAGCCCAAATAGTAGATCATAGACTTCTATAAACTAATTATTCATCCCTAGACTCTAGTGTATGTAGCTATACCTACACTCCCTCTTAAACGATGCGTTTAGCCTCCTACTAACCCCAGTATCTAAACCCATCAAAATGACACGCTTCATAAAACCGTCGAGATCGCTCTTCGACAATGAGATTTCTAGCAAGTAATGATCTAACAATTGAACACTCCCCAAACTACCTTACTACCTCCATGGTTCTGCATTCCCAAATCTCCAACGCTGGAATACATCAAAGTTGCCGTCGGCGACGATGGCGGAGAATGAATAATCATGTGTGTGACTTAGAAGTGTGTGATTTGTTCTTCTACTAGTCATTTCCATGGAAAATTCAACCAACATAAATTTCGTTGATTGAATTTCCCATCAATTTTGTCCCTCTTAAATTTTTATCAATGTTGATGACCATGAAACTACATCGAACTTTTCCCTTTGGATCGAATCGGACTAAACTCGGATTCGGATTAGTTTTTTTTTTTATTTTTTATTTATTTTTATTAATGTTCATTTTCATATTGATAAATGTTTATTTTCATATTGATACATTATCATTTCATTTAATATAATATTTATTGTGATATTGATATATACATGGTGTATGTTTATTTTCGTATTAATAAATGTTCATTTTCGTATTGATAATGTTCATTTTTATTTTGATAAGTTTGTTATTTCAATTTTGATAGACATTCATTCACGTTTTGCAAATAATAATGTGTATTGATTGTTACAAATACTTTTTATTTTATTTTATTTATTTTTTATTTTTATTTTTTTTAATGTATAGTATGGAGTAGTAAGTAATTAAGTATATGTACTACTTAGCTTGCTTGTATGTCACACCTAACACAAAAGTATATTTTATGCAAGGAGTAAAAGACTAAAAACGTTGAGTAGAGCTTTAAATGTTTAACCACATATATTTTTTAATGCTCATTAATTTTTATGCCATATTCATTATCATTCCAATATGTACTCATTTATATATGAGTAGATGCTCATTTACATATTATGTTGATCATGTCAGTTTCCATACTCTTTCAGGTTCATCTTTATATATATATATATACATATATATATATATATATATATATATATATATATATATATATATATATATATATATATATTTAAACTACTACTTATAAATAAATTTGATGTTCTTATCAAAGTCTTGTGCTCATTCTCATGTAAATACAGAGCCAAGATTTTAATAGATGTCTATTTTGAATTTTTTGTACTCTCGTAGATGTTTATACAGATATTATTGCAATTGTTCAATCCCATAATTTAAATGCACGGTCAAGATATTTGTTAAATTTTTGTTTGAATTTCATAAAGATATTTTGATAAATGTTCTTTCTTGTATTGAAATATGTTCATCTAGAAATGGATGCATGTACATCAAGTTATTGAGTTATAGATATATTGAGTCATGTACATTAAGTTATTGATTTATAGATATATTGACAATACAGTTAAAGCAACAACTATAGGAGAACCAACTCATATTGCACAACCTATAGTGTTTACTTGATGAACTACGAAAAATTCTTTTTGTTGCATGTTCATTTTCATTTTTTTTTTTGAAACAAACGGGAAGCAATATTATTAAGATAAATCCATTTCCGCTAGAGTTTGGAAGCTAGCAGGAAATGGGTCAAAACGAACATGTTCAAGAGACTCCTCCGGACATGATCTAGCTACTAAATGACTAAAGAATTTCCCCCCCTTTTGATATGACTACAATGAAAGTAATCGAAGTCATTCGTAGATTAACAATTCGATCAATGAATTTAAACAAATAATTGTAGCCACTTTGCTGGGTCTTTACTTTCTGAACTACTCCCAAAGCATCACTCTCCACCCAAACCCGATTATACCCAATTCTTCTTGTCATGACCAGCCCATACTCCATAGCAGCAGCTTCAATTACCGTGGGATCCCAGACTCTCTGCACTTTCTTCACAGCAGTAAATAGAATATGCCCATTACTATCTCTAGCTACAACACCCATGGCCATCATATTGTTGTGGAAAATGGCTGCATCTACATTTAATTTCACTACTCCTTCTCTTGGTCTTTTTCACTTTCTCGAAGTACTGTCACAAAAATTGGGTCTTTTTCCATACACACGGGCTGCGTACACCTTATAGTCCTCCACATACTTCACAAACTTCCCAGCAAGTACTATGGGATTAACAGTGCTCTGTTGATATAGCACTTGATTTCTGTGAGTCCAGGTTGCCCACATCAAGGAAGAGAAGGTGCAGAGATCTTGCCTTGGTATTTTCTCAGCCCAGAACATAAAGGCATCCTTGATATCAGTTGGTGCTTGCTCCTGCAACAATTCCCAAAAGGAACTCTTCTCCCAAATCAACTTGGCCTAGGGACATTAAAAAATGGTGTGATGTACTGTTTCAGCCATCACCCCACATCTCTGGCATAGAGCATCAGTTCGTAGATGACGTC